GCAGGACGACTGCGGGCAGCCCTGGGTCCGCAGCCGCGGCACGTCCACGGCCATGAGCTCCAGGGCCGTGGCGCCGCGGCCCAGCAGCTGGCCCCAGCCACTGACCACCGAGAAGCGGACGCGGGCCAGTGTGCGCTCGGAGAAGGCCGCCTCGGGCAGGCACAGGGCCACCACGTGGTCGGAGAGCACCGCGGGCCGGCGCAGGCGCAGCAGCGCGATGTCGTGGTCGGTCCTGCCCGGCACGTACTTGTCAGGCACAATGACCTGCGCCACCTGCCGGGGCTGCTCGTGACCCTCGTCCTCGCTGAGGTCGTGCTCCCCTGGGAGGACCATGGCCGCTGAGGGACGGCTGGCACTGGCTGCGGCTCCTGGGGCGGTCGCCTCACCCAGCCCCTCTCATGGGGAACTGTGAGCGGGCGAGCTGGAACTGGGGTGTGGCATGGAGGGGTGGCAGTCCTCCGCAGGCTGCCAGGCGGAGGCCCTGCCAGGCGAGCCTCCTCAGGGCTAGCAGCCTGTGGGGACCCCAGCCCCCTTGGGCCTTAGTCGGAGGGGCTGAGAGGGCCGTGCGCCCGCGCCCCCGCACTCCGGGCACTGTCCCTGCAGGGCCACACCTACCCAGCACCACCGTCAGGTTCCTCCAGCTGCGCAGTCTGTCCAAGCAGTGTGCGGCGGAGACCACCCAGTGAGGGGCCAGCAGGGTCCCCCCACACAGCAGCGCCCCGTTCAGCCTCAGCAGGGCCTGGGCAGCACAACAGATGGAGCAGCGGCCAGCAGTCAGGGTCCTCTCCTGGCAGCGCGCCCTCCTGCCCGTGCTGAGGCTGTGAGGTCCTGCTGGGAGCCCCGGTCGCCGAGCCTGCCCCCCACACCCACCCCTGCCCAGCCACACCCCTGTGCCCTGCTGGGTCGTCCTCAGCACCAGACGACAGCAGAAACCTCGTTGCTGGGATCCACATGCTCCAGGGCCTCACGCAGTGGCTCCAGGGCCTCCCATAGTGACCCTGGGCCGAGACCCTGTGAGGAGCTCCGTGGGGGAGCAGGAAATGCACAGACAGGACCCTCGGCAGATGCTACTTCCGGATCTTCTTCCTCCCCGAGTGACAGGGGCTGTCCGGTCGGGGCCGGGGCCTACGTCGTCCTCCAGGGCCTTACTTTGAGCCCACAGGGCCCCAGGCAGGTGCAACTGCCCCTGGAGACTTACCTGCCATGGACACTCGCCTTTGGGGCACACCTTGCCCCCCACGATGCGGCCTTGGGGGCTGCTGGCATTCTTTTTCTCCAGAACAGGTATTTTTCCACATGGATATTCAACTGCGAGACAGAAGCCAGCCAGGCCCCAAGGTTCGTGAGGATGCTTATGCATGGGGGGTCAGCAGCCCGTGTCCATGGGGCATCAGCAGCCCACGTACATGTGAGCTTGAGCTCTGGCTACTGCCTCAGCTCTTCCAGGGCTGAGGGACCCTGGGCTGAGGGGCAAGGGCAGGGCCTCCCCAGAGGCTGCTGTGTCCCCGAGGCAGCAGGGCAGGCTGTGCAGGGGTGCCCTGTTCCTGGAGGGTAGGAAGGCGCGTGTCAGAGGTGCTGGGAGGGATGAGCTACGTCCAGCCTCCATGTTGTCTGGACTTGCCCCTATTTCTCGGTCTGCTCCAGTAAATTCTGGGTAAGGAAGCAACTGCTTTGTCGGCAGGCCTGTACAGCCTCGTGAGCTTGAGGCCCAGCCTCAGGACTGCAGCCCACGGATGTGAGGGGATGGAGAACAGCCCACGGACGTGAGGGGATGAACAGCCCACGGACGTGAGGGATGAACAGCCCACGGACGTGAGGGATGGAGAACAGCCCCTCTGCTACAAGTCATCCTCTAGCAGTTGGGGCTCCAAGGTTGTGCGGATACTGGGTGTGTCAGTGTAGACTAGGGGCCACAGGAGAGGTCCCGGGGGAAGCCGGAGGGGGTGGAGACTAGGACAGGCAGGGGCTGGGACCACCAGGGAGCCGTCCCAGAGGCCCTGCCTCCCAGGACGCTCAGTGGACAGTCAGCACCCACCCCAGCTTTAGCCAGCGGGAGTTTGCAGCAGACAGGGCTCAGCACCGGCCCCTGGCATGGACCGGGGCAGCCTGAGCCTGGCTACCTGCAGGTGTGCAGGACACGCCGTCGCCGAGCAGTGTGTAGCCCTCGTGACAGTGACAGGTGCGCCCGGCATCCCCGCGGTCGTGGCAGTACTGCTGACAGCCGCCATTGTCGTTCACACACATCAGCTGCTGGCTCTTGTCTGGGGGCAGGAAGGGCCGCCTGAGGGGCTCCCCAAGCCAGCCAGGCAGCCTGGTCGGCTGTCCTGGGCCCTGCAGCTGTGCGGGCTTGCCTCATACCCCTTGATCTGGACGGGTGAGAGCTGGACGGAGGGGCCCAGACAGCCCACTGCGGGGAGCCGTCCGGGTGCCCAGCAGGCCTGAGATGGCCTCCAGGACCCAGCCTCCCAGGAGGTTGAGGGGAGCCAGGAGAGTTGGGAGGAGCAACCCTGGGGCAACGCAAGGGCCTGGGGAGGGGTCTGTGTGCAGGCCCAGGGCTGGGCCCAGCCAGAGGGCAGCCGGCCTTGGCCACTGCTCAGGGAAAGATGAGGGGTGGTCCCATGGCTCTGCTGCAGGTGGGACTTGGGGATTGGCTTGGACATGCTGTCGGGGCTGCCAAATGGGCCGTGCCAGGCACAGAGGGAACCGACCACATGCTGTGGCCTCTCCAGTGGCCCTCCCTGCTTGTGGGCTCCGTTCCACTCAGAGGAGGGGGCTGTGGCCAGAGAACAACACCGGCCTGGCCCAGGAGGGCGTGGTCTGGACCCCTGGCTCCCAGGAGGTAGCCTTTGGGGGTTTCACCATGCTCTGCACTGCGATCAGCGAGCTCTGAGCCCCGCCGGCGAGTCATCGTACCGGGCCACCTGTGGACCCCACGCTCTGCAGTGGCTCAGCATGCAGAGTGAGCGCACAGCTTGTGCCCGCATAATGGGGTGAGATGCCAGGCGGGACACAGGGACCCTCTCCTGGGCTCAACAGGCCACCGTGTCTGAGGACCGGGTCTCAGCCTAGAGTGGAGACCGTCAGGTTGGAAGGGGCTTTGCAGTCACCCAGGGCAACTGCCCTGGGTGGAGCTGCTGTGTTTGGCAGCCGGGCCCTCTGCTGCTGCAGACAGGAAGCCACCCACTTGTCTCACAGTTGCGGCCCTCGAAGCCGGCGCGGCAGAAGCAGATGTAGGACTGCAGCTGGTCCTGGCAGGAGCCCCCATTCTGGCACGGATTCGAGGAGCACTGGTCTCCATCTGCAGAGCGGGGGCCTTAGCGAGCCGAGCAGGATGGCCAGCCTGGCGGGTCAGGACAGCCTCCCGGCTCACCGGTGTAGGAAATCCAGAACTGCATCTGTGGGCACAGAGTGCGCCTGTGACACACATGGCAGAGATTTGGGCGGGGTGGGCGGGCCCCAACCCTGGCTTATCCCACGTGGTCACAGGGCCTGACGCCTGCTGGGGCAAGCTGTCTCACCCACAGGGACGAACCCTTGTCTGCCCCCAGCACAGAGGCCCAGCAGAGGCCATGTTCCCTCTGAGTCTGAGGACTGTTTTCGGGCTCACCCTGCCACTGACAAGCTCTGAGCCGAGCAGGACCCATGGGCACAGCCTCCAGCCCACTCCGCCGGCATCCATGCACATGGGCCTCCCTGAGGAAGGTGGCTCTGGAACAAACACTGAGCCACGACTGAGGCTCACAGGGCTGCCGTGAGGACAAGTGGATGGGAGACAGTGAGCGCCGGGCACCAATGCAGGGGAGACCTGCTCCACACGTCCGCGAGGCTCCCTGAGCACAACTACCTGGGGCGTGTGGGTGTCCTGGGCGGAGTTCTGTGGGTGTGAGGTGAGTGTACAGTGAGTGGGAGGTGAGCGTATATCAGTGTGAGTGTGAGGTGGGCATACATCAGTGTAGGTGAGTGTCATCAGTGTGAGGTGAGTGTATGTAAGTGTGAGGTGAGCGTATGTGAGGTGAGCGTATGTGAGTTGAGAGTATGTGTGGTGAGGTGAGTGTACAGTGAGTGTGAGGTGAGTATATACCAGTGTGAGTGTGAGGTGGGCATACATCAGTGTAGGTGAGTGTCATCAGTGTGAGGTGAGTGTATGTAAGCGTGAGGTGAGTGTACATGAGTATGAGGTGAGCATATGTGTGGTGAGATGAATGTATAGTGAGTGTGAGTGTGAGGTAAGCACACATGAGTTGAAGTGAGCATATGTGTGAGGTGAGCTTATGTTAGTTGAGTGTACAAGAGTTGAGGTGAGTGTACATGAGTTGAGGTGAGCAGATGCTCATATGTGTGAGGTGAGCTTATGTTAGTTGAGTGTACATGAGTTGAGGTGAGCATCTGTGAGTGTGAGGTGTGTCTGAGTTGAGTGTATGTGAGTTGAGCGTACATGAATATGAGGTGAATGTACGTAAAGATGAGGTGAGTATATGAGAGTTGAGAGTAGGTGCAGTGAGGTGAGTGTACAGTGAGTATGAGGTGAGCATATGTGAGTGTGAGTAAGCATATGTGAGTTGAGGTGAGCATACGTGAGTTGAGGTGAGTGTACATGAGTGTGAGGATGTGTACGTGAGTGTGAGGTGTGTGTATGTGAGTTGAGGTGAGTGTACATGAGTTGAGTTGAGCATACATTAGTGTGAGGTGAGCATAATGAGTTGAGGTGAGCGTACGTGAGGTGAAGTGATCATACATGAATGTGAGGTGAGCATATTTGAGGTGAGCATACGTGCACTGAATTGAGCATACACGAGTTGAGATGAGTGTATGTGAGTGTGAGGTGTGCATAAATGACTTGAAGTGAATATTCTTGAGTGTGAGGTGAGCGTACGTGAGTTGAGTTGAGTTGTATGTGAGTGTGAGGTGTGCATACATGAGTGTGAGGTGTGTGTATGTGAGTTGAGGTGAGAGTATGTGAGTTGAGTTCAGTGTACATGGGTGTGAGATGAGTTTACATGAGTTGAGGTGAGTGTACGTGAATGTAAGGTGAATGTATGTGTGTGGTGATTGTATGTGAGTTGAGATGAGTGTACGTGAGTTGAGGTTAGTGTACGTGAGTGTGAGGTGAGTGTATGTGAATTGAGGTGAGCATATGTGACTCGAGGTGAGCATACGTGAGTTGGGGTGATCGTACATGGATGTGAGGTGAATGTATTTGAGGTGAGCATATGTGAGTTGAATTGAGTGTACCTGAGTTGAGGTGAGTGTACGTGAGTTGAAGTGAGCGTGTGTGAGTGTAAGGTGAGCATATGTGAGTGTGAGGTGTGTGTACATGAGTTGAGATGAGTGTACGTGAGTTGAGTGTACATGAGTATGAGGTGAGAGTACATGAGTTGAGGTGAATGTATATGAGTGTGAGGTGTGTGTACAAGGGTTGAGGTGAGTGTACTTGAGTGTGAGGTGAATGTACGTGTATGGTGAGCTTACATGAGTTGGTGAGCGTATGTGAATTGAGGTGAGCAAATGTGTGCAGTGAGCATATGTGAGTGTGAGGTGAGCATACGTGAGTTGAGGTGAGTATATGTGAGTTGAGGTGAGTGTACATGTGATGTGAGTGTATGTGAGTTGAGGTGAGCATACGTGAGTTGAGGTGAGCATACGTGAGTTGAGGTGAGCATATGTGTGTGGTGAGCATACAGGATTTGAGGTAAGCGTATATGAGTTGAGGTGAACATACGTGAGTTGAGGTGAGTGTATGTGAGTATGAGGTGGGTGTATATGAGTTGAGGTGAGCATATGTGTGTGGTGAGTATACATGAGTTGAGGTGAGCATACGTGAATTGAAGTGAGCATACCTGAGTTGAGTTGAGCGTACGTGAGCTGAAGTGAGCATACGTGAGTTGAGGTGAGCGTACGTGAGTTGAGGTGAGCGTACGTGAGTTGAGGTGAGCATATGTGTGTGGTGAGCATACATGAGTTGAGGTGAGCATATGTGAGTTGAGGTGAGCATATGTGAATTGAAGTGAGCGTACGTGAGTGTGAGGTAGAAGTGTACATGAGTTGAGGTGAGCATACATGTGTGGTGAGCGTACATGAGTTGAGGTGAGCATACTTGAGTGTGAGATGAGCATATGTCAGTGTGTACCATGAGTTGTGGTGTGTGTGTCAGGGCTACCAGGTGAAGCTCAGAACCATGGCGACGTGTCCGTGGTGGCTCAGGGCTGTGGTCTCTCTGGGACAGACGTGACCCACACCAAGTGCCTGACCCAGGCTGTAGCTGGGCTGACTGAAAACGCGCAGAGGACGCATCCCCAGAGCCTGGACGTGCGTCTTCAGAGAGGAAGACTAGAGACCAGAGACCGACAGCTCTCCCGCCTGCGAGGGGGAGGCTATGGCTCTGACGGGCTCTTCCTCATGGGGCTTCCCACAGTGGGCACAGCAGTCGGATGGCTGCCAGAGACCTGCCAGCCAGATGCCTCAGGGCATTTGCTCCATGGCCAGTGCTGGGTGGTCGGCGCAGCCCTGGGTCCTGAGAGATTCGGGCACCTTCCTGGGGTCCAGGACACCCATGGGCTCTGTGCATTTTCTTAGATGAGCTTAGCATGCAGGTGTGGAGAGAGTTGAGGAGACACCAGGGGGCGCCCTGGAGCATTGCTGAGTAGGCAGCCCCACAGGGAGGCTGGAGCCTGTGCCCACCTGAAGGGTCTGAGCTTATCTGGGCATCCTGAGCTCACCTGTGCAGCCTGAGCTCACCTGTGTGGCCTGAGCACACCTGTGTGGCCTGAGCTCACCTAAACTGGCCTGAGCTCACCTGAACTGACCTGAGCACACCTGTGTGGCCTGAGCTCACCTGTGCAGCCTGAGCTCACCTGAACTGGTCTGAGTTCACCTGTGTGGCCTGAGCTCACCTGTGCGGCCTGAGCTCACCTGAACTGGCCTGAGCTCACCTGTGTGGCCAGAGCACAACTGTGTGGCCTGAGCTCACCTGTGTGGCCAGAGCTCACCTGAACTGGCCTGAGCTCACCTGTGTGGCCTGAGCTCACCTGTGTGACTAGAACTCACCTGATCTGGCCTGAGCTCACCTGTGTGGCTTGAGCTCACCTGTGTGGCCAGAGCACACCTGAACTGGCCTGAGCTCACCTGATCTGGCCTGAGTTCACCTGTGTGGCCTGAGCTCACCTGTGTGGCCAGAGCACACCTGAACTGGCCTGAGCTCACCTATGTGGCCTGAGCTCACCTGAACTAGTCTGAGCTCACCTGTGTGGCCTAAGCTCACCTGTGCGGCCTGAGCTCACCTGTGCGGCCTGAGCTCACCTGTGTGGCCTGAGCTCACCTGAATTGGCCTGTGCTGGTGGCCACAGGCCAGCCCTCCCAGCCGCTCCCTGCCCTGGCCTGCCCCCCTCCCGCAGTGCTGTGTGCTCACCGCCTTCTCCGTGCTCTGGAAGATCTCCCGGGCCTCCTCTAATGAGCATTGCTCCTCCTTGCACTCCCTCTCCAGGGAGCCAGGCCGCAGCTCCTCCAAGAATGAGTTGGCCCGCCGTGGCCGTGGCCGGGGCCGGGACCCGTGGGCCGGCGCCGG